CACCCGGGATCGCAGCCGGTGCCCCTCGCCCGCGGCCCCCTGCCTGGCCTCACGCGCCCCCATCCCCTCCCCCGCCCTGTTACTGGCCGGCCCCTCCCTTGTTAATAACCAGCATTCCCCGCCCCCCTCTCCCGTCCCCCCTCTGCCTTCTTACTGTTTAGCCCCTCCTCCTCCCGCCGGGCCCCCACTTGCAAGCCAGCCCCTCCCGGCCGCCCCCCATACTCGCCAGAACCCCCCCTTCCGGCTGTCTTGGGATGTGGAGAAACTACGGAACCGGACCTGACGCCGCAGACGAGGCCGAGGGGGCGGGGGCTGCCGGGTTCCAGGGTCTGTCCCTCGTCGTCGGCACAGGCGGCCCCTTGGAGTGTCCCTAACCCGCCTGGAAGACGCCTGGCGCCGGACAACTGCTGTTATTTTGGTCAGGAATCCGGGCGGGAGGGCTCACATCCGTTAACTCCTGTAAAAATTCCCATCACCTCTAAGGCCGGGTTGTCCCCATGTCATAGGAAAAAACAGGCGCGGGTAGGAGCCAAATGCAATTCTATTTGACTCGTAAATGAGTGCTCTGACCTGTAATCACACGAACCAACCTTTATGGAGCAGTTTACTCCCAGTCAGGGTAGCAAGCCCCTGAGGTAGGTACTGTTATGGCCCCACTTCACAGGAGAGGAAACTGAGGCCGCCAGGGGCCAAGTGACTTGTCCATGGCCACACAGCTAGTAGGTGACAGAGCTGGGATTTGAACTTGGCCAGGCTGCTTCCAGAATCCCTGCTTTTAACCTCTATACCAACTCTAGCCAATAAAAATAAAATGCGAGCCACACATATAATTTTATATATCAGCAAATAAAACCAGACATGGATTCTTGCCCTCATGGAACTGAACTTCCAGGGGGAGAGACAGATAACAGGAGATGTAGTAAGCAAATTATATAGTGTTGGGGAAATAATTAAAAATAAAATCTCCTACCAACCCCAAACAAACATCTCCACAAATGTGGAAAATAGTGAAAGAGTATTATTAAATAAGCATGAACCAGACTGTAATGTGCATGGGCCGTGATGAACGGTAGACATAACAGGCAAATTACATAGTGTGTTAGGAGGTGATTAATGCTATGGAAAAAGAGAGCAGAGAACGGGTGTGAGGCATGAGTGATCTGGGTGGGGAGACCCCTAATTCTGAGAGATGGGTTGACTATTACACTGGCCTGATTTCTTTTCAATACACTTTTCAGTATTGAGGTTTTCAAACATACCCACAAGTGGAACCCAGCTCCAACAGTTAACTCCTGGCCAATCTGGTTTTGTCTCTATTGCCACCCACTTGCTCCTAAAGATAATTTGAAGCAAATCTTAGACATCACATCCTTCTGTCCGTAAAAATCCATTATTATTATTATTATTTTTTAAAGCTTCAGTGCATGGTTGTGTATTCTAGTTGTGAGTTTTTAGTTCTTTCTGTCAGCCGTCGCCACAGTATGACAACTGACAGACGGGTGGTATGGTTCCATCACTGGGAAACCGGCAGCGGTGAGAGCACCAAATCTTAACCACTAGCCCACCAGGGCTGGCTCAAAAATACATTATTTTTTAATGTAATGTGTAAGCCGTGGGAATCTTTTTGATAATGAGATTATGACCCAACTATATGAGTTCAAAAAATGAAAAAAAAAAAGAAAAAACGTTTAAAAACTTCAAGTAGGATAAAAGGCAGACACTGACAGCTCAGCTCCCTTTCTCATTCCTCAATTCTCCTCCTCAGAGACAATCTCTGTCAATTCCTGGAATTACATCCCACATTGTACTCTGATTAAAAAGAAAAATAAATATAAATGGGTTCCCGAAGGGCCTACCACCTAGAAGATAATGATTAGAGGATGGGTCCCAGGAGAAGGAGGCGTGCAAACACCCCAGGGGCCTTTTGGGAAAGTTATGGGGGCATGCTGGTGTCACAGTAATGAGGGGTGCCATTGGGAAGCCACGCACAGGACAGTGGCGCCCAGCAGAGCACTCTCCTGGACTCCTCCTCCTATTCAGTGTTTGTGCATTTTCATGGCGGAGGAAATCCTGCGAATCTGAGCCTAGACCCCAATTCCAGTTTGCACATAAATGTAAAGTGTGTGAATAGATACACAGGATTGTCCAGGAATGCGACTAATGGGTCACCTGGAAGATTGTCCTGGGTTGACTATTACAGTGGCCTGATTGGGAAGCCACGCACAGGACAGTGGCTTCCCACTTTACTAATTGTGCTCCAGTTCAGAAAACCACAAAATCTCTTCATCTGGCAGTGCCGGCTGTGGGTTTTAGGGAGCTTCAGGGAGCCATACAGAGCGATGAGCATCCTGGGGATATGTCAGATCCCCTGGGGAGATTTTTAAAACGCAGGCACTGAATTGGGTCTGCATTTGTAACAGATTCCCGACGGATGCTGATGGCTGCCCTCCGTGGACCTCGCTTTGAGTAGCTGAATCTTAGAGGGATCC